GACAACTACTTAATCGTCCGTTGATTTGTCGGCGCCTCTTTTCTGCTTCGAAAAGAAGTCGCATGCATGTTTGTTTGCTCTTGCGCGCACCTTGCGTAATATAATAATAACAAGCAGACGATTTATTCCGCGCGGCCGCACGTTTATTTGCGCAAGGGTGGGTTTACGTAAAAATTATAATTAGCTCCCGCGAGAAATACATATCGATGAATGTGATGATGGCGCACATGCGTAAGCGAGATGCGAAAATCGGCGCGATATCTCCTTTTCGTTCGTAAAACGAATTTGATTAAATTTCAAACAACGCTGAGAGTGTGCTCTTCAAAAGTAGGCTCTTCGATTAATATTAATTAATATTTGAATTAATATTTAATTAATATTTTCGTACTCTATTTTTCATTTTTTACGACACTCTAATTTAAGGTCAAATTCTTGAAAGAGAAGAAAATTGTCAGCATAATTGCGAAGAAAGATCGAATACAAAGTCCTCTAAGGGGATAATTTAGGAAGATTCTATCTCTATTTTGCACAAAGAAAAATGTATACTGTATTCAAGTAAATATTTATTTTAAGTATAGCGTAAGTTTGTATATCCGCAAATATATCACAAGTTCACCACAAACGTTAAATTTAATTGAATATATTCTGAATTTTAATAAGCGCAGTATTTTAGTCAAGAATATTAAATTAAAACAAAAATTTGGTTTGCTTACTACAAAGAGTTGGCGTAAAGTAAGTTTGATTTTTTTTTGATACAACTTTATAATATTCTTGAAGAGAAAATAAATTCTTCTTTTGAGTACATGATAGAGTGAGATTTTCTATCACTTGTGATGAGTATATTTTAAGACTATTATCAAGAATATATTCTTTGTTGAAGAAAACTATTACTTAAAAAAAGAAAAATAAACTGAGTAATCGCTTTTCTTGTTTCAGTAGAATGATATTTTTCTCTGTGTGTCCGCGTATTTTTTAAAAAAGGCGATTATTCATCCGTAGCTTTCCGAAAAACTTTGCAAACATGTATATTGATTAACGCGTAATTTTCATTTCTTAGAAAGGTGACTTTAAAATAGCTTGAGGAAATGCAGCCATGTTTTCGATACGCGCTTTTATCAGAATACCCGGTGGAATCGCGAAGGATTACATTACGTAGTTACACTTGCATTAGACGCGATTATTTACGGTACACCATTCGCAAAGGATTACTCCGCTCCCTCGATTGTTGGCGATGTCGTTTCGTGCGGCGCGACGTAAATGAAGCTTAATGCGCCAACGTCCAATTTGTCGGCGAATTTTTGCGCACGCAGAAGATTGCCGGTTATAAATACGAGACGTGTAACACATTGGACATTTATGGTCGCGATACTAGGATTCTAATTTACGACGAGCGTCGCGTAAGTTCCCCTTAGTATCGCGCAGCGCGAAGACTTGACATAATATCGCACTAAGAGCGGCGCGGTGTCCCGTTTACGTCACGTGTCATCTATAATTAGTTGCCCGACCCGAGTCCCGATGATATTTGCGCGACTTATCGAATCTTTTGTCGCGCGACTCTCACACGCATATCGATACGTTCCGCTTGGTTCCGCTTTAAAAGTAACTTGTCGCAGATGCGTCGCGCGGTATATTGATTACGTACTATCAATGTACGTGGGGTAGATGCATCAGTGAATGACCGGTCACCGATGCATGACCGCTGAATCTACGCTTACTCTCTTGTGGCCACGAGAGACAATACACAATTCCATCTTTCCACGCAAAATGTAGAAAAAGCGAGTAAATCTTGAATTTTTTTTATTGCGAATTCCGAAAAAATGTCGCAGGTTATGCAAACGAAATATAAAAATTTATATACACAGATAACACATACATGTGTATTATTATACACATATCGCGAATACCGTATAAGATGTATTATCTTGCTGATTTCGCGACTTTTTATTAAACATTATTGTGAAAGCAATCTAGAAATTATTTTAAAAAATTCTAATGTTTCTGTCGTAAGCAATGATTTTTCATAATGATATTGATAATATTTTTTTTAAAGATAAGCTTAGATATTTTTTCAGTTTTTTTCCAACACGATTTTATGATATTTATTGAAGTTTATTAGGAAGCTTTTATGAGAAAGTTTCGGCGCATTTGTTAAATACGCGTTTTCGAGAAAATATAATATTACAATATTATAATATGTTGTAAATTTTGCCAGGATTTCCAATGAAGGATTTACATATTATTCCAGTTTGTTTGTGTTTGTGTGTGTTGGCCGCCATAAAATGCAGCTGATTAGCCGCATATAGAGAAAAATATGCGGGAAGCAAAATATAAGCCCGAAATTATAAATTCTTTGCAACTTCTTAGCAAGAATTCAAATCGTGCATGCGATTATACATGTACGTAATTCGAGTTTTACTTGATAATTAAAAATTAAAACATTCTTTCATACACGTCCGAATTATCAGACATAAATTCTTGAACGGAGAAATTTAACTTCGTGTCTCCGAAATTTAACTTCGTGTCTCCTTTCTTGAAATTAATAATCAGACGAACTGTGCGATTAAATATTCTTACCGCCGCTTTTATTGTCGTACTTTTTCGTCACTCTGTATGCACGATTGGTAAGTCTGTCGCGACAGTTGACGCGATTGGTCACTTGGAATTTGCTGTTACTTGGCTATCTCGCAATTTGCCACGAAAGTTTTGGCCGTTCGACGAATAAGCTCGGATTTCCCCGTTCATCAATCGATCGGCTTGACTCATCGCACGGAATATAAGCGCAACGCGCGATGCACATACCTACGTACTTACTCGCACGAACGTACGTACATAGTATGTACGTGTACGGGTTACGAGCGCGGGGGCCGGTCGCTACTGGGTGACGCAAAGTTTTTGTTAATTTTATTCCGGGCTGAGTCATCGCGACGTGACCTGACAAATTACTCCGAAAAACAGTTATCCCGCCACTACTTATTTCGCTGAAACAAATTACTGCAATTTCATCCATTCGCATTCATCAGCTTCCTCCTTTGTCCTATATATTTGCTCTACAATCTTGGGCAAAATACGTGAATCATATTTTTTGCATGATGGATGCTATTTTCTATATACATTTATTATTGTGCTTATTATTTGATTATCATCTTTAAAAGGACAATTTGACAAGTTATCGAATTAATTATAATAAAAAACAGATTTTCAACGAAAACACGCATCGAGTGATACTATTTTATATTAAAAGTATTTGTATTCGTATTTGTTGTCTTCAATCAGATTTTTAACATCAACTTTTTTTTAGTTAAGATTGAGGGAAATACGAAAAAAGTTTTTTCCCGCAACTGACGAAATTGTCATCCTTGCGTCGCGATGCGGTTTTTCTTTTCTACGACGGTATTTTACTTTTCTGTCAGACGACCGATACGGTTGTGCTACTTGTTTGCACGAGTTTGTTAGGATCCAACGGGTGTCGAGCCGGTTAACTTAAACGTAACTGTACCTCGTGATACCGTGGATCGTTCGTAATGCCGACCAGCACTATTTCTGACAGTCAGCACTATAATTAGAGCACGTCCTCGCGCGATAGATAAATGACAGCAAGAACGAGAAAGAAGGAGAAAGAGAATGAGATGCGTGCCGATATGATGGATGGATAGCAAGGAAGGAAGGGGTAACTCGAGGAGGCGGGAGGCTTGAAATCGCGCGAGGTTTCCACGACACTTGGGACAGCGATCGATCGGATGTTTTCGTTCGCCCGGTATTATTCGATCGGTAACTCTGGCTTATGAGTCACAAATACATTGTGCAATATTGCGTATTTGGTTGTGAACGCAGAGAATTACGTGAACCTATAGCATGTTGGTAGCACAGGAGAAAATATCTGTCAGTTATATCAGACAGATTAACGAACTTTGTGACATGAATGCGCAGTAATTTGTGATGTAAGTTCCCTAATTTATCAAATATCAAACCGATTAATGTCAAAAATTAAATGTTAAAAGTCATGGAAATCTTGATATATATTATTATGATATGTATTATCTATTTTTTTCATATTTGTGAGTTAAATCGCACGGTAACCCTAATTTTTTACATTTATAGTTATAACATATTTTAGTATAAGACATTATTACGTGGTTAAAATTTAGGATGTGAGATAAATTGAAGAACTATAAGATTCTGAAATGGTCCCAAAATCGATAGGTTTCGAAGCATTTAATATAACCGAATGATAAGAACGGCGTAGCAACAAGGGACAAAGAGTTCTCAGCCACGACAACTGAGATTGAGGAAGAAAAAAAGACCGTTCTCTCAAAACGATTCAATCGATAAATCTCAAGAAAATTATTTATTTCCAAGTTAAATTTATTGAAAACTTTATTGCAACAAACAGAAAGCGGTCACTTTTATTTATATAACAAAATACGCGACACGATATCTGGTGACAGTTTTTTTGAGAATCACTGATTTAAACCGACGTGGACGCGGAGGTGGTTCTAAAATATTCATGGTCGTTGGCCTTACTTTTTGTATCCTCTGTATTTTTTGTCGCTCTGTGGCGGTTTTGTACATTGTTGAGGAAATATCTTAATAGATAACATCATTATTCGAATATTTAAATATTTATCACATTTTAACCTTTAGTGATTTGACCTACTAATTATTTTGTCAATGAAATTAGATTTACAAACTTTAAACTGTACCAATGTAATAATAAATGCATACATATATATAATATAATATATATAATATACATAATATAATAATATTAAGTATAATAATATAAATAAGAAATTAAAAAGATGAAAAAATTAAAAGAATGACAAAAGATTATATGAGGATGATTTAGAATGAAAAAAAGATTGTCTCTTTATATATCTTTAACAAAAGAATAATAATAAATAATGATAAAAAAAATTAAGTTATACACACACACACACACACACACTTATATACAAAAAAAATCAATGGTTGTTATCAAGATCGTTGCTTTCTGATTGCAGGGAATGTATGACATGTTCATCCAAACACAGCAGACGAGTAGCGTCAACGGCAGCAGCAGCAGCAGCAGCAGCAGCAGCAGTAACAACACCGTTCACCATCACAGCAAAAAGCGCAAGTTGGACTACAACGTGAGCCAGCCGGTAATCCAGCACGCATTGGTCCAATCGACCAGCGACTACCAATTGGACAATACCGGTCTGCAACAACGATACTCCGTGAACGGTGCTAATACCGCATTTAGCTCGCTGCACAACAATAATGCGCTGCAGAAGAGTAGTCCGAACCAGCAGACCCTGGTACGAGCCTCGACGATCAAGCTCTTAGATACGTACCAACGCTGTGGCCAGAAGGTTGGTGTGGTTTCCTACATTCTCTTTATGTTGCCGTATTTTAATCGTTAACGTAAAATCCATTGTTCGTATTCAGCGCTAAATTCGGTCCTAGTATTCTGTTTTATTCAATATAAAGATTGTTGTTGATTCAACATTGAATTACAAGGCTGATGGAATCACATCCAATCAAAGACACGCGTTTTATTTTCGAGCTTAATTACTAGTTTTAGAATCTGTATTTTTAACATAATAGTCCGCGGTTTAGCTATGTATTCGTCTCAAAACCATATTTAGCGCTAAATGCGTGGCTTTTGTCCGTTTCCCTTCTTTCAGCATCGCACGTAATCAGCATAATGAACAAACTATCGCGGCAATGCCTCATTTGTTTGCAAATTTCGAGTTACCGTAGCTTGTTGTTGTTTCGCCATTGCTCGTATTCTCTCGGGCCAACTGTTATAAACACACGCGTATAATTAAGAGCGCGAACAATCGCGGCTACGTTTCTCCCGACGTATAGTTACAATTTTTTCTTTTTAACATTTTATGCAGGTAGGCAGGAAGAACTTTCCTTCGCCGTCTTGTCGTACGTGTTGTCATCTTTAACGTTCCAGCGAATAAAATCTAACGACTATTAACCGCTTATTGGCACAACGGCGCAGGCTCGAGAGCTAGATTGTTCGACTCCGAGAGCACGTTTGGCAACGAGTCATGATACTTTTCGCTTCGCGACTAATGCCTCCTCTTGCTACAAGCCGAGGCGAAAGGGAAAGGCCTGAGAGATCTCTGGTTTATAGCAAGAATATACTATACAGTTTGTCCTCTGCTCATCCATTGTAAGCTTATTGCAATCCTTCAACTAGTTCTCGATAATAATTGTTGATCACGACGATCGCTTGTTGTACATAAAATTGATTTCAATTAATCAAGGGCAGAATATTATCCCCCTTACTTGCAGCCTGATGTGAATTTGTTTCCGATATGCGTACACAGAGAAAAATATCATTCTACTACCAAGCAAAGCGATTACTCAATTTATTTTTCTTTTTTTAATTATTTTTTAATTATTTAATTTTTAATCATTAATTTTTAATAATTTTAATTATTTTTTAATTATTTTTCTTTTTTAAATAATAGTGTTCTTCAATAAAGAATATATTCTTGATAATAGTCTTAAAATATACTCATCACAAGTGTTAGAAAATCTCATTATCAGGTACTCCAAAGAAGAAATTATTTTCTCTTGAAGAATATTGTAAAGTTGTATCAAAGAAAAATCAAACTTACTTTATATGTAATAAGCAAACCAAATTTTTGTTTTGATTTAATATTCTTGACTAAAATACTGCACTTACTAAAAATATATTCAAAATATATTCAAATTATATTGAATTAAATTTAATGCTTGTGGTGAACTTGTGATATATTTGCGGATATACAAACTTATGATATACTTAAAATAAATAATATTTACTTGGATACAGTATACATTTTTTTCTGTGTAGCATGAGCTCGTTTAAATTACGCTTAAGAAATGTGTCGTCCTTTCTATCTTTCTCTGTGCTAACATCTCATCTAATAATTGTTCCTTCGGCTCGCCTCGTGTTTGGCGTCTCATCCGCCTTCGAAAATTTCCAAATTGCATCCTCGCGTTGGCTGTAACTCGACGTCGATTCAATAACATGGGACGGCTTGCAGTTGCACGCTATTATATCCTCGCTGATTCATTGCGCTTGTCTCCTAACATTCTCGCTCCATCGTTCGCAAAATATAAACGTCTCGTAATATGCTGTCGTTACGTCGCGCGATTTTTGCCATCTCAATCGTGACAATCGAGTGTTGTCACATCTCCATGCTGATAAATCGACGCACATTGAACTTAATCTGCCGTTCGTTCCTTTTAAACAACCAAGGCACGACCGAATCTTTTGGCATGCTTGATTCACTATTCAGCGATCGATAATAAACGTCTGTTCTTATATAAACGTGTAAATTTTCGAAATTGTTTCGGCTCGACATCATCGTAAAATGTTGCACATAAGTCTAAAGGTTCCGATAACGAATTCCTAATTACTTACAACGTATCTCAATTCACTCGACGTTCATTAATTTCCTAATTACAAGAGCAACGACGTATACGCACTTAATGTAGGAAAATGACGTCTATTACCAGGAACCTATAGATACTACTGCAAACTAATGCGCGATATACACATGTATATTCGTGAATGTATACATGTATTTATACACATGTATATTCGCGAATGTATACATGCATTTTATACGTCATCCTCTCGCGTATAAACTGCACGATCAATTCGAAAATCCTCGACCGTTGAGAATCGCAACCTGATGACTGATAAAATATTATTTGATAAAAGGAGCGTTTTTATCGGAGATGAAATTAACGAGATTCAAAAATGCAGATCGGTTTGAGATGGAGAATTTACTACACTTGACAAAGCGAGAATTTGCTATTAATCGGGTACGTCGTTGATGGGCCAGAGAGAATCTTCACGCGAGTAATTCGGTTTCTCGAAGCCGAAAGGGTTCGATCTTTCTTCCTTTTTCTCATCCGAAAGATTCGGTTGGTTTATTAACAATAATACACGTGAACAAGAGCGCGCGGTACATTCGAGCTGCCCCCTGACTAATTAAGTAAGGATAATCACAGAGCGCGACGATAATGTTTCGGTTGCCTATCATTGCAGGGTGTCACGAGCGCCGGTTGGCGGCGTAGATAACGTTTCCGTATGGCGTAGTTAACTATCGATTGCTTTCAAGGCTTCCATTACATATTTCATGCTGACCATCGTATACGGAAGTGTGAACACGCGCGTGATTCTGTCGAGCGAGAGTCGCAATTTCGATGACTATGCGCGACGAAGAGAACGATTATTAGCCAAAGAATTGGCGCGAGATCGCGAAAGGCAGGGTCTCGCAAGAGTACGTTTTCCTCGACGATGATCGACGACGAGCGAGCGTTGATACACGGCCGGCGATGCTTCATAGCGCGCGAGGATGCACGATATAACGTCCGCTATAAGTACCCTCGTCCGTTAATTAATCTCCACCGATGCGCGAATCACGCAATCGGCGGCGATCGAAGCTCTCCTTTGCGTCGATTGCCGGTGTGGAAAATTTCTGGGATCTTCGTTGCACAGGTAGCACGTACTACTGTACGCGCCGAGGTGTGTGCGTTGTATATCGGCCCCTATTCCAAGAGATCTTGGTTCGTCGCTGTTACTGTTTGGTCGTTTTTATCCGTCGTTCTTCCCGTTCTGCCCAATTCTCAAAGTTCTCCGTATTCGACGATGATTTCTTAACGTCCAAAAATTTTTGTATAAGGTATATTCCTCCTACAGAGAAAAACTTGGTCGAGGGAGGGTAATGGTGACGGCCTGGCAGTCCACTCCGCCAATGCGACGAATGCGGTGGGTAGTACTGTAGTGTCGCAGCACCATACCCAACAGCAACAACAGCAGCTGCAACAACAACAGCAGCAGCAGCAGCAACAGCACAACAAGCAGACGAGTATGACGGCGCATAGCAAGCAAGTGGCTAATGCGGCCAACGGGAACGGCGGTGGCAGCAATCCCCAGGGCGACGGGGATTATCACTTGGTGCAGCATGAAGTCCTCTACTCCATGACCAACCAGTACGAAGTCCTCGAGTTTCTTGGCAGAGGTACTTTCGGACAGGTAAGAACAAACGTTTGTGCACAGAGAAAAATATCATTCCACTACCAAGAAAAGCGGTTACTCAATTTATTTTTTTTTTTTTTAATTAATTTTTAATAATCTTAATAATTTTTTAATTATTTTTCTTTTTTAAGCAATAGTTTTCTTTAATAAAGAATTAGCAATAGTTTTCTTTAATAAAGAATATATTCTTGATAATAGTCTTAAAATATACTCGTTACAAGTGTTAGAAAATCTCATTATCATGTACTCAAAAGAAGAGATTATTTTCTCTTCAAGAATATTGTAAAGTTGTATCAAAGAAAAATCAAACTTATTTTACGCCAACTCATGTAGTAAGCAAACCAAATTTTTGTTTTAATTTAATATTCTTGACTAAAATACTGCACTAAAATTCAAAATATATTGAATTAAATTTAATGCTTGTGGTGAACTTGTGATATATTTGCGATATATATATATATTTGTGATATACAAACTTACGATATACTTAAAATAAATAATATTTACTTGAATACAGTATATATTTTTCTTCGTGTAATATTAATTTTGCCTGAATATGTGAAACTATGAAAGTTACAGCAGCTATTATATTGCAGTTACTGGTTGTACAAAGATAAATCGCTTTTTTGCAGGTTGTAAAATGTTGGAAAAAAGGAACGAACGAAATAGTAGCCATCAAAATTCTAAAGAACCATCCATCGTACGCGCGCCAGGGTCAGATTGAGGTGAGTATTGTGAAATCTTACGACATATTATTTAGAGACAAACAAAAACATTGATAAAAACATTAGTTTCATTCTGTATACGGAGCAATTTATCGCATTTACAGGTCTCCATCCTGTCTCGACTTAGTCAGGAAAATGCGGATGAGTTCAATTTCGTGCGCGCCTATGAATGCTTCCAGCACAAGTCACATACCTGCTTGGTATTTGAAATGTTGGAGCAGAACCTCTACGATTTCTTGAAGCAGAATAAATTCTCACCTCTACCCCTCAAATATATCAGGCCCATTCTCCAACAAGTATTGACCGCGCTGTTAAAATTAAAGGTACGCGTTATAGTTATGTCCACGTTCACATTACTCGATCGATGATAAGAATTAGCAAATACCTAATAACCCTTTACTTTTGCAGCAATTAGGATTGATACATGCTGATTTGAAACCGGAGAACATTATGCTAGTGGATCCAGTTCGTCAACCATATCGAGTGAAAGTCATTGATTTCGGATCAGCCTCGCATGTGTCTAAAGCCGTCTGTAACACCTATTTGCAGTCGCGATACTACCGTGCGCCCGAGATCATACTGGGACTTCCATATTGTGAAGCGATAGATATGTGGTCGCTCGGCTGTGTTGTTGCAGAGTTGTTTCTGGGATGGCCATTATATCCGGGCAGTTCCGAGTATGATCAAATTCGATATATAAGTCAAACACAGGGCCTACCGACGGAGCATATGTTAAACAACGCTAGCAAAACAACAAAATTCTTTTACCGGGACATGGACAGTGTGTATCGATACGCAGAATAATAATATCGAATAATAGCGCACATAAATTTCTCACAAATTTCATATATATTTTTAGGCACATATCCATTTTGGCGGTTAAAGACACCGGAAGAGCACGAAGCGGAGACTGGTATCAAATCTAAGGAAGCAAGGAAATATATTTTTAATTGCCTTGACGATATTGGTCAGGTTAATGTACCGACTGATTTAGATGGCGGTCAACTCTTGCCAGAGAAAGCAGACAGGAGAGAGTTCATTGACCTCTTGAAGAGGATGCTTACAATGGACCAGGTAGTAATATCTAATTGATGCTTTTGATTAGAGAATGAGATTCTTTTATGTATAAAAACGTAATGCAGTATTCTTCTCATATCTGTTATGTGTTTGAATTAAAGGAGCGCCGTATAACACCCGGCGAGGCACTGAACCACGCATTTGTCACTCTGGCACATTTAGTCGATTACGCGCATTGTAACAACGTCAAAGCTTCCGTCCAGATGATGGAGGTTTGTAGGCGCGCGGGAGACTTTACGGCGAGTCCTGCACATCATCAGGCTCCACCGGCGCCTCAACCACCTCCACCAACGTCTTTAGTAGCCAATTTTGTACCTACCACGAATGGCAGTGCGGTGACTCTCACCTTCAACAATCAATTGACCAATCAAGTGCAGCGATTAGTCAGAGAGCACCGCACTGCGCAAACAGGATACGACAATCTGGTATGTATATTCGTATATATTATATTTTGTTTTCTCAATTATATAACATTTTATTTAAAAATTTGATGTATATAATTTATAATTGTCTCTATTTTAGTATCAAATATATAGTAACAGTAGCAGACGGGCAACACAGTATAGTGGGTCGTCTAGCGGATCCAATAGCGGGCGAAATGGCGTGCACGACTTCCCGCACCAATTGGTGCCTAGTATATTGTGTCCACCGCCTGGATATCAAACAATGCCAAGCCCTGCAAAACACGTAGTTGTTGCTCAGGTTGCTAAAAATATAGTAACGCTATTACATATGTATAATTAGTGTTTTATTCGAATGATTGACCATTGATAATGAACTCGCTTTTATAGCCACCGCAACCGCAACAGGCCCCTTTGCAAATTCAACCATCGATCATATCGCAGCAAGCCGTGGCTGCGGCAGCTGCAGCTGCTCAACAACAATATGCTGCGGTTCCTGTGTCTATGGTCGAAACTGGTCGGCAAATGTTGCTTACTGTAAGTAAAATATCATTCTTTATTTTTGAATTACCATTTAATACCGTCTAGCGTGTTGATATATGTTTATGATCATCATAGAATGCTGTGCAGACATCTTGGCCTGGTGGAAGTCGTCAAATGGCTGCGATCGTACCATCGTGGCAACAATTGCCGCCGCAGCATGCAGCCATACAACAACCACTGCTCAGTGATGCCGGTGATTGGGGAAGACCTCTTATTGTTGATAGCTCTGCTATTCTACAGGTAGTACTTGTCAATAAACTGATATTTGTACTATTTAGAAAAAAAGGATCGTTAATGCGGCTGGGTTATTGCCTTTCTTCTTTTATCTGTTGTGATTATTACCATCATCTATTATGTAAAAAAATGTAAAAGTAAAAAAATTCAGTTTTTAACTGATCTCCCTTGTTTTGGGGAAGGATCAGCGGCCGGTATTTCCTGTCACGGAGGTTTACAATGCTAGCGCACTCGTCGAGCATCCTTCACAGAGCTGGGGCAAGCGTACCGTCACTAAACATCATCATCATGTTACGGTACCGCAGCAGACTCAGCATAGACATGAACATAAAAAAGAGACACAACAATTGAGTCCGGTAAAGAAGAGGGTTAAAGAGAGTACACCACCCAGTAGCATGCGACGACACTCGCCGACGTCAAGTAGCCATTGGCAGGAACAGTCAGTGCAATCCCATCATCATAGTAGCAAGCACAGCAGTAGTCACAATGTGGAGCACCAACCAATCACATCCGTGCGACAGCAGACTATTACGATCGATGACACGCCTTCACCAGCCGTTTCCGTTATCACAATTAGTGACAGTGAAGATGAGGCGCCCGGAAAATGGTGAGTGTATACCAAATATATAATAGTATAGCCTGCATCCAGTATATTAAAAAAGTAGTATACATCAGAGATTTGATAAAACATGATGCACCTGTAGAGTTCAGATTTAGATATTATAGATGTCTGATAATCATGTTTTCGTGAATAAATAAAACGATCGGTTTTCTTTTCTGCCGTATCTGTAGAAATATCATAGAAACTTGCATTTACTGCAATTATATCCAAATCTGTCAATCAAACTGACAAATTGACAAATCAAGACAAGATTAAGAAAAATTAAAATTAAAATTAAATAGAAAAAATGGATTGAAAATGCATTTTGTGCTTCTTTAACATCGTCAGTCGATTATCGTCTTGTGAAAAATATATAGTTAAGCACGCTTATTTGTTAGCGCATTATCAGTTGGTAGAATCACGCATGATATCGTTGACAGCTGCGGAGACCGTCAGTGCAGCGCCTGTCAAAGTTTGGCAACTCGCCTGTCGGGCGACGGACGTCCTGTCCGTGAGGAAGTCATACGAAGGTATATTAATGTAATGTGCCGTTAAGGATTACGTGATTAACGATAATTAATTTAGTTTGATTAAAGAATATGCAATCGAATGTCACGAAGAACAGGACTTATTTTCTACTTTCGAAATTAGATTTTATTATTATAAATTTATTCAAAATCGGTTTTCTCTAGATATGTGATTTACTTTGGAAATCTTGATGGATTAATTTAGCCTTTATTTTTAAAATTTTTTGTAAAATGAAATTTATCTGTATTAATTTATTTATTGTATATTAGAAATTTTCTAAAATTACCCTTTTATACACACATATATTATTTTGTGAACAATAATTATACTTTCGATGTATTTGGTACTACGGATGTACTTAGGAATCTGGTTGCGGAGCTTGGCGTGAAACAACTATCGACTAACACAAAGCCAATGTCTCTTAGTAACAAATATTGTTGCAAATTAGCATGTAATGTTTCATATGGATGCAATAACTTGCCAGTGGTTAAAGCACGCAACAACGACATTTGATAATTTTGAATAATGAAATCTCTTCTGTTTCAATTTACAGCACGCAGTCGACGCCGCGTGTTGTACAAATGCAGTCAACACACACGAATAGTCAGCAACACACGAACGGGCACGTTACGCATAGCAGCAGCAGCTCATCATCGCATCGAGCGCAACGCAAGAATGTCATCAGCTGTGTCACCGTTGGCGATAGCGACGGCGAAGCTAGTCCAAACCGTACGCATGGTCATATATATCAACATCTATCGCAACACCCGCAGCATCAACAGACCACGCAGTTGATCAAGCACGAGCCGCAACAACAACATCACGTTAGCAGGTGAACATTTACTGCAATAGTGATGCAGTGAAAAGGATTTTTCATTAAAATTCTTTTTTTTTATTTTAATCATTGTTCTGATTTATATTCTACCTCCTTTCTTTGAATCAAATAAATTTCTATAAAAGCAAGAAATCGCGAGAAAATCGCAAAGAGAATAAATCGGAGAGCTTATATTTTTAATAGTTACGCAATATTCATTTAAAAAACTTGTTGTTTTCGCCATGGTTTTTTATATGTATTTTTACATGTATTGTATTGTGATTTTTATATGTATTATTAATACATAATTGATTAATTTTTTCTGATTATTACGCAGCAGTAGCTCAGCATACTCTTCTCAATCACAAAAAAAGCGGCTGTTGGCAAAAGTGCAGTCCGAATGCAATATGGTGAACGTTGCGACGAAACCGGAACCTGGCGTCGAGTATCTTGCTCCACATCCGTGTCACGCGCCAGCTTGCAAAGAGCCACCGACCTATCAGGTTAATTAATTTCTATTGAAACAGTTTTACGTTTGATTTGTTTCTTTCTTTTGTTTGCAATTCTATCAGAAGCGCGGATTTATTTTATTTAGTACTTCGCGAAACGTTCAATGAAGAAAAGGAGGAAAGAAGGAAAGACCTGGATCGTGTATATGCTATCAGGATATTTTTTATTTTTTTTTTTATTTAGTAATTTTCTTTGATGAATATTTTTTCTAGGATGACGTCTATGACATGCATGACCACTTCTTGCAGTATGTGACTACGAGTAGTGCGCATCCTCATCTCCAAGAGCAACATATCGTGTATACAACTGGCACGGACAAACGAGTATCCTGGCCCGGAAAACGTGCTGAGTATAAACATGAATACGTTCAACCACCGGCTGCACACTCTCGAGATCATCAAAAGTGGGTGGTGGCTAATCCTGTACATCAATATAGGTGAGAATTTCCTTCTTCTGATCGTTTTTCCATCTGTATTTTTAATTGAAACACATACTCTTTGGAATAGCGATTCTATATATATTGACAATTCTTCGAGCAACATGTAATGTGTAAGACATGTGCGAGTTTTTTTTTTCAAAATAAAATTTTTAAAATCAGACAGTAAACATTCAATATTAATTCTGTGAGACGATTCTATAAAATCTTCTACAAGTTTTCTATAAATTATTTTTTTCTCTCTTTCGGGATAAATGAATCATGGAGAGCGCGTTTCTTTACATCTGTAAATAGATATATTATAATAAAAAGATGAAACGTATGAATTATATATAAGGAGGAGTGGATTTCGTTTTGTGTTTTATAGACAGAGCCAGGTAGTAGGTACGGCAGCCCATCCGAGTCATACCCACAGTCATCACGGACATCCGGCTCATTTAAGTCCAGGGGGCAGTGGCGGTGGTAGAAGTCCTGCCGGCGGACCTGTGATAGGAAGTGCCCAGCATTTGGGACAACCTCTCTATCAGGAATACGCTCATGTGCGTTCGAGAGCTCATGCGGTGCCACCTCCCGTGTACGTTACCGCTGCACCCTCGCAGGCTGCTACTGCTATTCAGCAGCAACAAGTGCCCACCTATCAAGGATTCACACCCGGGTGGGTAACTAAGAAACTAGTTGATGCATGCATGTCTTTTTTATTATCTTATAATATTCATTCTAGCGTTTTGTTTAACGCTAATTAATTATTACTTCGAATATTAACTGTTTAAATAATTATAATTAATATACAATTAACTGTAAAATTATCAATTCAAGTTAATAGTCAAACTATTTTCTATTTTCTGAGTTTATTCTCAAAAATATATGCTCATGAATCGGTCAATTTATAAAAAAACTTATCATTTCTTTTTTAGAGCTTTGTGAAGACTTTCTAATGTGCGTTATCCCGTTTTTTACAGCTCGTCTCCATTAACGTTGTATGATTCTAGTCGAGCGTTGCCACCGCCAGCTCATCACAGCTCGGCCAGACCATTACTGGCAAGTCACGCAGCACATCCGTTGCCTGCGCATATGCAGCCTACAGCTGTTTATGGATTGGCCCCGCTATCGCCAGCCAAACACCAATATCAACCTTCCGGTTTATGGTTCACCGAATAAATTATTCGGTCGAGTCGTGACTAAAAGTCGTACGAGCGAATGTAATAAGTAATCGCACGAATTTTCTGGGAACTTACGAGCCGCTTGTGCCAATCAGCGAATGCGTAATTAATTAAATATAACAGAACAAAGGTATGTCGTGCACACTTTTCACAGTCTTTGTGCACTTGGCCAGTAAATGGAGCGGGGTGGGAGTATCCGAACTGTGAATACGAATCGATATTTGCATATACTTATACAAAAATTTACGATCGAGCAAGTTTGCCGAATGAAAAGCAGCAGAAAGCAGTAGAGATGTGTTTAAAGATGAAATTTTTGACAATCCGTCCTACGTATATATATATATATACATATTATATATATATAAGCAGCGACTCCCTTCCGACCCCCGCTCTCTCATAAGAAGCGAAATGCTAGGAGATCAGTATAATTAGATCTCTTTATATATGTTTGTTATATGCCTTTTATATGTGTTTGAAATAAACCCATCGCGACAATTTCAAAAAGAAATTAGAGAGAAAAGAAAAGAATTATCCTATTTTGACACGCGATTGTACGTAAATAGAAATCTCATTACAATTTTCTTTTTTTTTTCTTTGAATTTGAATCGAAGAAATATGTATATCTCGGCGTATGCGGCATGCTATATAGATTTCGTAAGTTTCCAGAGATGCCGAAGTTTTATTACGAAAGGTAAGATTTATAAGGACATTGTATGTACAGACCAAAATTTTTTTCTATCGAGATGCCCAAATCTATTGAATGTTCACATGCGCGAAGTTTCTCTCTATTGTAAATATATATACATGTATACATATATATACATATATATATATGTATACATGTATATATGGAATTAGCATGTAACTTAAATAGATTGGAAGCATCAATATCGATGATAGAAATATGCATGTGGAATGGCATTGTCGAAACGCGCGTACAATTGTAAGACAGATATCGTTCATATGCGATTTATATTTATATGATTTAATTTAAAGTACGAATGAGTATGCATTTCTTTAAGCTATGTTAAAAAATATATATCGCGCGCGCGAGTATCTTATTTTTAATCCTCCTTAACGGAATCATTTTAACGAACTATATATTTTTTTCGATCGTTACAATGGCGATCGCGATTTTGTTCTTGTTCGTGGGATTTTCAATTGTATTAAGAATTTCGCTATGGAATATAGTGTGCTGTAGTCTTTTATGATATTTTATTCATAACGGATACTCGAAACTAACGAGGTAATCACATTATCCTTCGTAGTTTGCAGCGTGTTACTCACAAGTATACGTTAACATATACACACACATATTATTTAGTTATAGTACATATTCGGAATTTCAGGATACATATAGATTCGCGAGTATATAGAGAATTATTCCGGTTGTCGTAAGTATAATTGTATGAGGGAGTATCTCGTCAAGAAAATAATATACAAAAAAAATTTAGAATCAAGTCACGAATCTATTAAGATGATTGCACGATATCCGAATTGACGAAAGCTTTGACGTGCCTTTTTTGGAACAGTCTTATTATTTATTTTATTCTTATATTATTATTTTCAATCGTTTCTTTCCATAGTCAATGTGTCATTTTCATTGTATAGCATTTCATTATTATTCCCATTATCATTGTTACTAATCGTCATTGTTCTCATGCCTAATATTTTGTTCTAAATTGTATAAATAGTGTATTATAGGCAATCTTTGCCTTAAATTTATGGTCTAAAACGCTAAATAGTGACCATATAATTTCGAAGGGTTCATAAATTGTATATAGGTTTAATGACACTTCTCGTTAATGTTTCTTTCTCCAATAATCTTTTGCATTTTGGCGGAGGCTATATATTAAAAAAGTATACACATCAAGTACATTGCACAATTCAGAGAGAAACAGGAACAGGAAAAGGAATAATACTTGGAGAAAGCGTTTCTGTTTTCAGAATAGAATCTAAGGATTTTTTTCGAATGTTGGGATGAAAAGAGGAAGACAGTAACACATTCTATATATGAGAGAAATGCCAAACAGCAATAAAATATAATAATGGATCTTATATTAAAGAATTTCTCGCGGATATCACAAATCTTATATTACATACACACTTCCGCGCATACATAATTTTTTTTAATAATAATAATAATAATGTTGAGAGAGAGAAAGAGAGAGCGAAAGCGAGTGAGCGAGCGAGCGATTGAGAGAGAGAGAGAGAAATTTCTTTTTAGAGAAATAGTTTTCACAATTCCGTTCTTCTCACCGAATCATGTTCTTCCTCGTTGCATTTTCTCTACGTCAGTATCTAAACTAAAGTCAGTATCTTATATTAATGATTTTCATTTATAGAAAATAGATATCATTCTCAAGCGGTATCATAAACACGATACGCATACATAGTTTTTCAGGTATCGGCGTCATTTTTCAACTGCTAATATATTTCGTGATTTTATGGAATAACGTTTAGGTATTGTTTTGCTCTAATTCTATTAATAAATGTATAGAAAGTTGTAATATTCGGCGTATATATGGGATTATAATTGCGGTATGTTGTTTAGAGTGATTCACGTCCAGAGTTTAATTAGAGATATTTTACACGTAGAGTGAGAGAGAGAGAGAGATAGAGAGAGTGAAAGAGAATAACAAGAAGTTGAGAGAGAGAGGAGACAATTAGGGACATATATATATATATATATATATATATATATATATATGTGTGTATGTATATATGTATATATATACATATGAAGTGAAGATATATATAAATGTAGTGTAGGGTGTAACGGAGTTTTAAACACATGTTACCGGTATCATGAAAAGAATCCTTACGTGATACAATAAGTAAACGACAAACGATATATACAGCTGCAATTTAACTATATTTAACTTTATAGAGCAGGGCCGTTACGGCTATCGGGTCCATGATAGCCTCGCAAATCTCTCGAGTGCCTTTATATCGAGAGGCATCAGATGAATCGATGTAAATCTGTAGCGATGTCGGATTTGTTTCGACAAAAGAGCGATGTCTGTAGACCTCTTAGTTTCTCTTTTCGCTCTTCTTTGTTTCTGCAATTACGCAGTTTCTCTTCTTGTCTTAAGATTAAGCGATTTGCCCGATACCCTCTTTCGTATACGCATCAATACGTTTACCTTGTATGAAAAAAAAAAGAAATATTTAACCAACTCGATGTGCCTGTTTAACGAATAATCGTATTTACACTGGATAATTAATTGTAACGGAAAAGAGAAAGGGATATAAAAGTAGATTGGGAAGTCGTTTTTTCCTTTTCTTCGATGTAGACTGAACGCGCTATCGGTGAAGCGCGTTACAATCATCCAATCGTAAACCATGTTACGTTGATATTCATCTCTGGGTTTCGGCGTACTGATCAATTCACGCCCAATTGTATATGTACATACATACATACATACATACATGCTTCCACATTTGACAGTATAGAGATACTCGCGTCGCATTAAAACTACCATATACCCTACTCCATATGAGAGTCGTGAGAAAAAAAAAAAGAGTCATATCTTTAGGTTCATCCTCTACACGTAATGTTGGATGTGTGTATGTGTGCGTCCCTATGTGCGCACATATGCACATATATGTGCGTGAGTTATAATAGTCATAGTGTAGTGATAAGTTTTTTCACATCTTCTTTTTCGTACGTTTCGTAAACGTATCATAATTAACATTAGATTGAACGATTATCATCATCATAATTAACATTAGATTTGAACGATGGTCACGTTTCTCTTACTCCATTCACGAGCAGGTCTTGACTGACGATAGGATTTTGATTATCATGAAACGATGTGGCGTTCGGATTATTGTAGATATCGCTAAAGCGTTATTTTTTTCAGAGGATCACGGTACATGATAAGAAATAGGAACGAAAATCTTTAGGCGGGTGACATATCGACTATCTTAAGGGGTACAAAATGCACGCGCGGACCATTACAATAGGTTGAATTGATTTCGTAGTTGCATCGTATTGATACATTGTCTATATATTTTTCCGGTCGATCGTCGGTCAATACGTGCTTATGTTCGTCGTCATTTCAGAGTATACATTTCACATTGTTAATTAAATATATATACACACACACACACACACACATAATAAGCTATCTAAATAAAAAGAAGTAGAGACGCTATAAAACGCTGTGTGAAAAATTAAGTAAAAGGTACCATAACTATCAATGGTTCTAGTTGTGATATTTTATTATATGCTGATATATATATATATATATATATATATATATATACATATATACACACACATATATATATATATATATATATATATATATATATATGTATATGTATGTATGTATATATTCGTGCGCAATTAACTTTGAACGGGTTTTCTCGCGTGCCCGACGTATATATCGCGAGATATAAAGCATGTAGAGGAGTTGTATCTTAATCTTAACGTATTAATTATATGCGGAAGGAGAAAAGGGGAAATATTATACATTGTTGCAGTAAATAATCTATGATGATCGATATAACGTTACTTTATTTACGAATATTTGGCGAATTTGCGAATGATTTTTTTAATTTCAAAATTCAATACGAACATTCACTATTCTTGTTTTTTGTCGTAACATCAATTCTTACTAATCAGAGTATCATTCAAAATGTACAAAAATTCTTTTTTGTGATTTTTGGAAAAGTTGGAGTTATTTCATGTTATGAGTGTGAAACTTTTGAATTTCTTCGTGATATATAAATCCGGATTATTTACATATAACTAGTTCCGAGCTTTTAAAACGAAAAAAAAATTATTAGTTAAATTTTTACACGTACAATCGTATGCAACTGTAACAATTACTCCTTTCGTTCGGGTAGAGTGTTGATGATAATAACACATTCGGTGTAAGTATCTAGTTCTTTTGATCGTTTTGGAATATGTACATATGTTTCTTATTACATCTGGGAATTGGGGGGTGTGATATATTAGTCTTAGGTGTAGTGCCTAAAGTGATGAGATCGTGTGTCTGATAATAAAATTTATTTAGCATGGGATCTTCAAGTTAATCCTGCACCGGTGCAGGCAGAATTTACTGTATCGCGAATAATTGCCAGAAAACATGTTCATTTCTATTAAAACTATTCAATAAGAAAATCTTTTAAGAAAATTGATGGTTTTAATATTAATAAACTTGCGGGCACCCAATATACACACATAGAAAAGAGAAGAATGATAAACGCGACCAATATTTGTGTATTGGCTGTAGATTATTTAAAGTCACCGTAAAATTGAGAAACGCTTAGATGTGCTTAGCGTGGGGAGATATTTGTGTAAAAGTGGTCAAATGTAAACAAAAAAAGAAAAAAAGATTATAGGATAAGGGGGAAGGCTTACAATTTCATTGTTAGAACTGTAATATTCATCGCGTTATACGGGATAGTTCGTATAAAGTTATGTTATCACTGTAAACAAAGTAATACTGTCTCTCTTATAAGAGAGAAAAGTAGATATGTAGCTATATATAAAGTATATAGGAAAAAATAACATATTTTTGGAGTTAATAGAGGATTGATATTGTACTGTGCTTCGTAAATTATTGAATATTTCTTTTTCTTAAATTCTCTATTTGCTACGTTGCTCGTCGTAATCGGACCACATTTGCAAGTATAGACAATTGTTAGCTAAACAACTTTCGGCTGCGCCTCGATAAATCGAATTAATTGTCAAATTTTATTGAATGTCACATATCTCATCTTACGAGTCACTTAAATTCACTTGAATGTATTAGATTAAATATTTCTCGAGAGGCACATTTTATATTAATATTCTAAAATTTTATATTTTTTTAAAGTATAAATATTTGCGCATAAACTCAATACTACATTTACATCTCAAATTTAGAAGTGTGTAACATTTTTGACGTGAGAATGAAAAAAATCTTCAGAAAAAAAATGGCAATCTTATATACGTTTAAAATTTAAGGGAGCTTTTGATCTAAAAATCTAAAACAGAATATAATTATTGTGTGAAGTTGACTAGACCAGAGAGTTCTGAAAGTTGTCGTTACTAGGATAAATGAAGTCCGATTAGAGAAGCAAAGATAGATAGTTTATCGCGCGGGTAATTATATAATAAGATATAGGAACGACGAGATTCACATTATCTGACTGTTCTTCGATGTTCTTAATGTTCACTATTATACTATGGTAATGTAACGGCAAATAATAATTAACGGTGGGACTTGTATTATATATACGTTTATCGAGATTTATGCATAATGCTGTATAAAAATTAGTAATTAGTATAGGAGAGAAAGAGAGATAGTATCCTCGTACGTAGACACATCACTGTTTAGATTCTCATTTCACCTATGCATGGCTGATAGAGGCAATTTACAATTAGGCGTGTCTCTTTTTATTATGGAAAATATTTCTCTCCACAAGTCGGTAGTAAATTTGATGTTTTACAAATCGAACATTTTAGACTCTTTCTTCCTAACGTAACGTAGAAGACGATCCAGTCGCAGACTCTTAGTCGTCGGATCGTTTGTGTACATTGGACCAGAAATCGATCGTTATTGTACTCGTATTTGTAAAATCAAAAGAGAGAAAGAGAGAGAGAGAGTTGCATAATTAGAGGACTTTTTTATAGACGAAGGCTGTTTTGCTCTTTCGGGTCTCTTTTTCATACGTAGACACGTTGAAGGGATCGAAACTCATTGTCGTTGTCTCTTCTAAGTATCCAGCAAAACTCGCATATATTTAATTACATCTCATAGTGAAGTGGGCAGTATTTAATTCTTTGCTATTCATG